GTGTCCCAGCGATTTGGACCCCCCCTAGATTTGGACCCCCCTCCGCGGATTTGGAACCCCCCCCTACGAAACTGAGTGAAAACATCATCCTTACATCCGTTCTCGTAAAAATGGATAATACTTTACGTTCCAGTGCGTACTAAAGTATGTTTTTGATTCAAAACATTCGTAACGTTAATGCATTCGAACTGGCATCCCGTCGGATGTTTCTTTTGACGAAGGGAATATGGGCAAGAATTTAGTTTAATGTCTGGAGAGAGGTCGTTTTTGAACCTTTTCCGCGATAGCCGAGCACCGCTAGATTCAATAAGAGACAAACTTGTGACACTAATTTATTTTGTCATTGTTCAATGCCCGAGTGTGAGGACGGCATGGTACAGTGCGAGTTGTGCGAGGAAAGGTTACACATGAGCTGCGAGGGATTTAAGACTGCCTCGGAGGGTGAGTGGCTCTGCATTGTCTGCAGATTGCCAGACTCTAGACGTCTTAGTAATTGTTAAGGTGTTATTTCGGATCCCTCAACAGTTAGTAATCGTTAAAACTAGAAAATAAGATTGAGTTCGATGTAATAGTCTCCAATTTTACCATTATTTAGGAAATGTTGTCATCGACAAAAAAGCTTGCAAATAGAATTAGCAACTAAGTATGATACAAAGGATGCTTAAAGGGAAAGTTAGTTGGGGGGGGGTCCAAATCTGCGAAGGGGGGTCCATATCCGCTAGCGGATTTGGACCAAGGGGGTCCAAATCCACTGTGACACCGGCTCCATCTATTAAACTAAGTTAGTATGCGCCACGCAGGTGAATAGCGCTTTTCGCGGCGCTGATTTGCTAATTCGGAAGTTAATAGCTAGTATTATTCACCGCCGAGCAGCCTTTGAGACAAAATTGCGCTAAAGACTTTAATTTCCGATCATTTTTGGTGATATTGAAAGAGATAAACTAATACTTGGTGTCTATGTGGTATATACTTAAAAAAATTTTAAAGTCCATTGCGATGAGTAATTATTAAATATAAGTCTCCATGAAACCAGTTATTTGACAAACCAGCTTCGTATAGCGACCCTATTGAATTATCACAAACTGTACATCAAAATTTTCTATTCCACCATTTAGCTATCGATTCTCTGGGAGGTTCTTTCCATCTCATAGTCACTTGATCGCAAATGATAATAAAAAAAACCTCTTTCTCTCCTCTAGATTACGTAGCTGTGGATTATTCCTGATTTGACACGGTAAGAAAGGAGAGATATTTGATAATGATATCGTATTAAGAAGAATTGCTTGTTTTTATATTGAGCTCACAGAGATTTTAACCTTGCTGCTGTGTAATGCAAAACAGACACTCTTGCATGCCTGATAGGTAACGTTTTGAAAGACCAACCAACAATAAAGGAAAAATAACCATAGCATGTAAATTTATGAGCTTATTGAGGTCAAAAAGAAAAAAAGGTAGGCTGCAAGATGTGCAAGTTTTACCACCGCCAAAGTTATATTTAATTATATCTGGAAAATTGTGATTAGAACTATCTGCAGTATCAAACAAGCCGACCGACCATAATTGTCTGTGGTTGGTTTTGTTCTAAATCCCCCAAAGGTCAGTTTGTTTTTTTTTTGTTTTTTTTTTTTTGAAGAGGAAGGCTTAGAGGCCTCTTGTTACGGAAATCTCTTCTAATGCAACTGTAATACTCTAAGCAGAATATATATTTGTAATTATTCTTAAGTGTTCGTTCTTTGTGGGTATTTTTACAACCAATAATCAAACTTTAACTTTGAGGAAAAAATTAAACAAAGCAATGAGCATAACTTGTGTTTACATGTTCTAAGCTACGAGTTATTTTGCTCTCAGCAAAAAAAAAAAAAAAAAAAAAAAAAAAAACCGGTCTGAAGAAAAAAAGGAAAACTTGCAATTATCATAATTGCAAGTTAAAATCCCCGCTTCTTTATATCGTCTTTTGTTGTAACTCAATAGGAAGTCGATATTGTTATATTGTGGGACGAGAGCAATACTTTATTTTTAACGTTACTATTGCTTAATGTGTCTAGTTTGCCCACACATATTTGCATTAATTTCTTGTTAATTGGAATGAGAACTTGAAGACAAAAACTTTTCATATAAATAGAAACCACCCTCACTAAACTTTGGTCAGACAAAATGGTGACTTCAACGAAACTAAGAGGTGCTGTTAAAACTAACGATCATGAACCTTTAAGAGCCACTGCGCCTAAGAAACGACCGATGATTTCTGGCTAAAAATTAAAATCGGCCGATTGTTATCTTCCAATTAGAGGTTACCTAATACTATTTAAAAATGTATTTCTTTTGCTTCAGTTTCGCTTTAAACCAAAAATATCGAGTCGCGAACTTGTTACGTTTGATAGCAACAAAATCTGTCCCAAAATATGCCCTTTCAAAAACCGGTTCAAAAATCACTATCGCAACACAAAATAATGAGAAAACTACGCAGAAAAAAGGCCTTTTAATGCACTATCATTCGATAAATATCGAAAAACTGCACAAGCGAATGAAAAATAATTTTTCCAATATTGCATATCAGATTAGATAGAGCGTTGGAGATGATTCTAAATAACTATTTCCACAAAATCCAACACTGTTGAAAGCAATCATAGTGATGAATCAGAAAGTAGAAGGATATTCATTACGTTTCTGGAAAAACATCTTTCGTCCAAAGTATATTGACCTTGTACGAAGCGTTCAAAGTTGCAGTGTTTACTGTAATGTAGCTACTTCGATGAAACACTTCTCTGTTGTCAATACGTACATGGATAGCGTGGTAAATGTCACTTTAAACCTTGCTAGGCGCTCAAATACTATCCTAGATAGAAAGATCTGGTATTAAAATAGAAGGGAAGATGAAAAACAGGTAGAATGAGAAAATAATTTACATGTACCATCTGCTGAGGTGTTGAATCTTGAAAATGTTATCGTGTGACAGCACTCATTTCTCCAAATAACAGCGGAATCCAAGCAAATACGTAAAATATAAGTAAAAAAAAAACTCTTCCGCCGCCAGAAATCCTGAAGTGAGACAGTTTTATATTCTTGCCATGAATGATGATGAATTCAGGTGAAAATTAGCCTCAGATAGTGTCCATTTAGTACTTTGGTGGGCTGCATGTATTTCGTTACATTCCAACAGGCGTTACGGGTCAGCGCTTACAGGGGTTAGCGGACGTAAAAATAGAAACAACCAAGTAATCATGGCGGATGCCTGTTCTTTGTCAAAAGAGGGTCTCCTGGACTGCGGATCCTCACGTGGTCGCACGGAGACAGTGTTTCTGTATGAATGTCGAGATGATGCAACTACACATCTAAAAAATTGTCTTTTGTCGCTAGCAAACCTGAAAGAATACGAGTTCATCCTGCAAAGGGCTGGCCTCGACCGTTTGTCTCATGAAGAAGTGAAAACATTACCTGTTTGTGCTCGCCATCGCCATGGTATGGGCAAGTACTGGAGACCTTCAAAGCTGTGTCAGTATTCAGGGCACAAAGGACCACCTACCAGCGTCAAAAGTCGTGACGTGATCAACCCTACCAGGGCCAAGGAGGTGTCTCAGTTGTTTCATATATCTGTGCCGATAGGCTCACGTAAGAATAAAACACAACTTTTGGAGGATTTCTTTGTCATAAAAATTTTCTTATTTTCCAGTGCTTGTCTTATAGGGTATTTTTTATTACTTTTCTTTTATCTTTCCATTAGCTATATGTTCACCCTGTCGTAAAAAACATAAAGCAGATACGAATTCTACACGTACTGTTTGCTCCTGAAGAGGAATGTACAAAAACACATGCTGCTGAAAAAACGTACAATTTGAGGTATGCTTAAAACAGTAGAAATATCTTTTCTGAGGAGGTACGGGCTGAAAACTTATAGGTGTTTCATGACAGTACACAACATTCATTATATGTTCAATTTATCTTCTCTGTGAGTAATAAATGAAGTTTTAATTTGATTACAAGGCTAAGCAACATAAATAAATAAAAATTAAAAATATTTGTTTGTGACAGACAGCCTCTGAAGACTATACACTACGCTGAGCCGAGTCCAGGTTTTGCAGCAATGCCTAAGACGATCCTCACGAGTCCTCAAGATCCAGCCTGGACCCTAAGTGCAGTGAGTGTACAAAGCAGTGGTAGCTCCGACGAAGAAGAGTCCTTTATCACTCCTCGAGATGCCGAAATTCTTCATGTGTACAACACGGCAATGTCAAGATTAGCAATATCAAGTTCGTCTGCGGACAACTTCTCCCCGCTTATAAAGAAAAATCAGTGTTGATATCCTCTAATAAAACTATAGGTCGCCGAGTGTTATTTTTTATCATTATTATTTTCGTGACTGTTGCCACCAGATGTACAAACTAGAAACTTCCAAAGAGAAGAACCAAATTAATAAAATAAAAAAAAATTGTGTATAACTTGTAATTCTCTCAAAACTACCTAGCCCTTGGCAAAAAGCTCTGCCTCGTGAAGAAAAAAAATCTATATCCTAAGATTATGAATAAAACCTTAAAAGAAAAAAAAAAACACGGCGTCCTTGATCCAGCATACTTAAATAGTCTTCAATAAGACTTTCCATCTGCTCCCCTTTTATCTGCTTTTGTTTTATCTCAAGGGAAAGTCATTACCATGGAGTTATAAGAAGACAGTTCTAGAATTATATATGGCAAATAAGTCACCCATCCATTAGCCTTTAAATTCGACAGTCTATATACATAATCATGATTGCTTTCGTTGTCAGCTTTGCCCCCCATTTAATTGTATTCATCTGTCATTTATTTGTATTTATGTATTTAAATGAACTTTAAAACGAGACGAATCTTCAAGTATATAGGACCCATCCTAAGAACTTTGATCAGACCATACGGCGACTTCAACGAACTCAGTGCTGCAACTTAGACAAGTGATCGTGTTAAGAACTTTGTATAGCCTTTTCGTAAATTTGACGAACATCAGAGAAAATTATAACGGTGAACACAACCATGACATTCTTATCCGAAAACAGTACACAGATAACCATCCATGCAGCTTCGAGTAATTCCGACCAAGCTTGTGAAATAACAGCCGACTCCGCTGTAGAGGTTACAGCTAAAGCTCTGGCTTATATTTTTATTTTCATGGTTTCGTTTTTCGGAAATATCTTTCTTCTTGTGGTCATTTACAAGAACAAGCAGCTACGAAGATCCATCAACTACTTCGTTTTCAACATGGCTGTATCTGACCCCTTCAACCCTTTGACCGTCATGACTGTGAAGATCGTTGAGATCATTTCAGGCTCGGAATCCTGGAAAGTTGATCGTCCGTGGCTGCTAGGAAACATTCTATGCAAACTTGCCTACTTTCTGCCAGATGTTTCCCTTTTGGTTTCCATCGGAAGCCTTCTTTTGATTTCGATAGACAGGCTCTTCGCTGTCGTCTTTCCACTGAAGGCCAAACTTATCTCCTCAAAAGTACGATTGATCAGCATACTAATCACGTGGTGTGTCGCCATCGTCTTCCACGCACCTTATTTTTACAGTTTCAAACTGATCCTCTACGAAAATAAAACGTATTGTATCCTCAATTGGGGACCAGCACTCGACCACCTGAAAACACACAAGGGATTTGTTACGGCATCGTTTATAACTTTTATCCTCATTCCCGTAATTATCCTGGTTATTGTGCATAGCATTATCATATGGACAATACGAAAAAAGAACAAGAAAAGTAAAGAGCGATTGTCTTGTCGCCAAAACCATCGAGATCAGCAGCTGAGGAAAATTGTCCAAATGACGATGGCCATCATCATTTCCTTTGTTACCTGCATGACTCCTCTTTTTACCTATTTATTTCTTCTTATTTTTCTATGGAATTGGAAAACGCCACCCGTTTGTGCATTTCAAACAATTATCCCATTTATTTCTGTCTTTCTGCTACATTCATGGAGTGCAGTTAATCCCTGCATTTGTTTTATCTTTAGCAAGAACTATCGCAACGGTCTTAGGCAATGTTTTTATTGTGACGGTCTCAGTCGAAGGTTATCAAGTTTGCGGGAGAACTATCGAATGCGAACGATGACGAGCTCCTACAGAGACAGCTCTCTTCAGATCCACTCAAGTAGCGTACACATTATCTCGTACAGCAGAAACGCTTGAGCTCGCTATTTATTAAAATCCTAGCTCAGAAAAGCAGAAGTAAAATCTTTGGGTATGCACCTCGAACCCTTAAAGTTTGACTCAGATAGTTGTAACTGTATGTGGTAACTGATAATTAAAGCGATGACGACGTCCAACCGGTAGAATATCATAAACTATGCACTGCACATCGAACTTAGAAGTTTGACACAAATTTCTAGCAATGTTAAGTTGATTTTGAGAGGAACACTGAGGATGGACTTAGTGCCACACACTTAACCACAAGAACCATGGGGACAATAGTCTCGTGTCACGATGAATCTGTTCTCTAAGTCAGATGGTCGATTCAATCGTGCAGATCTTAGCGGCAGAGATACGATTGAGCCACTTATTCCACTCGCATTTTTTGCTATGAGGGATGATCTAATAATTATTTGCATATCATAATACCGAGAATTTTGCTTCCTTTTAACTGAACGTTTTAGCTTGCTCTCATAAAAATAAATGGTTATTTGACTTATTCCACGAGTTTCGCGGAAGAAAATTTCTCAAAATATAGCGCGCGCGAAAGTCCTATCTAATTCTTTAGGAGTTACCGTGGTATAATCCTCATGCACGCACGGCGTGCAGTTACACTTCGGCTGAAAGTTCCCGTTGAGTTTAGCTGCGAGGTTTCAAGACTTTCAGGCTTAATTTCGCTGCGCCTCGAGCAACTCCTTCGCTTCCCTCGTGCTCTCCAAACTTCCCCCCTTGTATCTCCTACTCAATATACGCACAATAAGCGTGGACCAATTCTTTATTTCCTCGTAGTGCTTAATTGCAGTCTTTCTGACCAACGCCAGTTGATATCAGAGTAGACATCTTCGATTCAGTCTGACGATTATGAGGATACTTTTTACCATATTATTCTCATATATACATTTTGTTTTTGGCCTCCACTTGTCTAACTTGTCTAATTTGAACTGGGTCCCTAAAACTGAATTATGAATTCCCCAATTCTTGCCCCTTATTTTTGTCTATTTTATTTTTATATTCGCTCTTTTATTGTAGAACCAACTATCATCTTGTAATGCATAGAGGTGAACCGAGGGCTATTCTTGTTCAATTATTCAAACAAGAAGAGGACACCTGGATAAAGGTCTATAACACTTCTACGCAACTGTCAGTTGTCTAATAACTGGAAAAAACGGAGGAAGTAAGAGTAAATAGTGCGTGATGTTTGCCAAATTGATGTTTATTTGGCTTTTCAGTTTTATTAGAATTTGCAGTTACTAATTACTGATAAGTTTTTTCATAGAAACACAATCCACCTTCGCCTACAAATGTTACAAGGAGTTCCGATGTCCCATTTTCAACTTTTTTTGTTTGTTTGCTCTCTATTTTTAGCTATAAACCGCAAGGCTTCTTCCTTCTCTGGTTTTCATATCAACTATATATTTTCCTTCTATAATCTACAACCTCTCACTTTAGTCATGAGCATAATTTCAGGTAACCGGTTGGCCCCAGCAACGTCTTATCTCTATGATTATGAGTTTTTGTAGCAGGACAAAGAATACATTTATAATCGAGCGGAGTTCTTATCTAATTCTTACTTTGGGTGCGTTTGTAAGTACATGCACGACGATGCAGTGTATTTATCATCATGCTTTTCGGTCCTTTTTATCTCGCTCCTGCAATTTTCTTTGGAACATGAAAGACGTGAATTAAGAGGATATATTAGCTCGTGTTTTCAAAACATGTTGCGGCCATATCACGACTTTTAAAAACAAAATGTAGCCAGATTAAAACATGATGTTTCGGCGACGACATTATTAATGTAAAATTAGACGTTATATAAAGAAAGGAGAGTGTGAAACTAAATTAGAATAAAAGTAAAACAAAAGAATGCACTTAATTAAACGAACAGTTTCGCTGTTTTCTCTTTTATTGGGGCTACATCGCGACTCCAAGATCACTGTAAACTGGGAACGTCACGAGCGGGCGATAAGTGGCCTTTGAAACGTCCGATGATGCAGTGAAAGGCCCTCTTATCAAGAAGAGATGAATCAAACAGCAAAGAATCATACCATCTTTATAGAGAAATATATTTTTTAACTGATTCAGAGGCATTTTACAATCGTTAATATTGAAACGTTGCAGTAAATTTTTATGACTAATACATTTCTCATCAGCTTTATATGCAAAAGCACCCTTCTGCATTACTTTGCGTTTACCAACACCAGCTATATCTACTGTTATATAAGACCGGATGCTCGATAATGCAAAAGCAAACAGCCTACGCATACAAGGGAAGAGTAGAAAAGAGAAAGAATCAGGGAAAAGAAAAATGGGTGTCAGACCTCCCTTTGATTCGTAGCCTTAGGTAGCTTGCATGTCATTTGAAAGAAAACTGTTGAGTAATTAGTGGTAGAAAACTTCAATAAAATTGAAAGCAACATCGGATGTTGCTAAATGAACATGACTTTCGCAAACGTCATGCTATATTTACCCTTCCTTCCCCCATTGACTTCAATAAAATTGAAAGCAACATTGGATGTTGCTAAATGAACATGGCTTTGGCAAACGTCATGCGATATTTACCCTTCCTTCCCCCATTGAAGCCTAATATCACCTGTGCCGTAATAGTTGTAGAGGCGTGATATGAACCTGCCAAAAATTTGAATATCAATGAGGCATGTGAGACAAGTTGGGGGTAGAAAGGAATATGATGGCGACAGAAAATCAATAAAACATGGTAAAGGGTGTCGCCTAAACTGTCAGACTGAATCGAACACGTCAGTTGCTGATATTACGTGAAATAATGCGGAAAGACGAAAATTGAGCGCCACAAGAGGATAAATTTTTCCCGCGAGCCTCATGGAATAAGACATTTAATTTGTTATTTTATTAAAGCACACTAGAAAGGTCAGCTAACTATAAGAAGCTAAAATCTATGTATTTGTAAATGTCACTCAAACGCGGGTTGGATTGCGCCGAAACAAAGTCGTGCGACGTTTCCTTTGATGGTCCACAATCATATTTTCCATTTTTTCCCCTTTCATTTGCTCTTGATCTATTTAAGGAAAGTCCTTTTTGTGAGGAACTTTATTTTCAACGTCAATGGTAATTACTATGTCAGCTTGCTCATGGATATTTGCATTCATCCATCATTTGTTTCTATTCATTTAAATAAATTGACTTCAAAAGGGAACGACTCAGTTCTCAAGTAAATAGGACCCATCCTTTAATCCTTCAAAACGAAACTTAGTGCTCCTTTCACAAAAGCGATAGCTCTCTCGTGGATTGACGATAATCAAAACAAGTTATGACTATGAACACAACCGTAAAAATGTTCTCCAAAAACAGCTCACATACAACCAGCCATGCAGCTTCTAATAACTCATATCAAGCTTGTGAGATGACGGCCGACTCCCCTGTAGAGGTAACAGCGAAAGCAGTGGCTTATATTTTCATTTTCCTGGTCTCGTTTGTCGGAAATATCTCTATTCTTGTAGTTATTTACAAGAACAAGCAGCTACGAAGATCCAGCAACTACTTCGTTTTCAACATGGCTGTATCTGACCTCTTCATGCCTTTGACCATCATGACTGTGAAGATCGTTGAGATCATTTCAGGCTCGGAATCCTGGAAACTTGATCGCCCGTGGCTGCTTGGAAACATTCTATGCAAACTTGCCTACTTTCTGCCAGATGTTTCTCTTGTGGTTTCTATAGGAAGCCTTCTTTTGATCTCCATAGAGAGGCTCATCGCTGTCGTCTTTCCACTGAAGGCCAAACTTATCTCCTCAAAAGTACGATTGATCAGCATTCTAAGCACGTGGTTTGTCGCCATCGCCATCCACGCACCTTATTTCTACAGCTTCAAACTGATCCCCTACGAAAATGAAACGTATTGTATCATGAATTGGGGACCAGCATTCGACCACTTGAAAACGCACAGAGGATTTGTTACGGCAACTTTTATCACTTTCATCCCCATTCCCATTTGTGTCCTGGCTATTCTGTATGGTATTATCGCATGGACAATAAGAAAAAAGAACAAAAAAACTAAAGAGAAATTGTCCTGTCACCAAGGCAATCGAGATCAACAGCTAGGGAAAATTGTCAGATTGGCAATGGCCATTATGATCTCCTTCGTTTCCTGTATGACTCTTCCGCTTATCAATTTATTTCTTAAAATTTTTCTGTGGAATGGGGAATCGCCACCCATTTGTGCATTTCAGACAATTCTCCCGTTTATTTCTGCATTTCTTGTGCATTCATGGAGTGCAGTTAATCCCTGCATTTGTTTTATCTTCAGCAAGAACTACCGCGATGGCCTTAAGCAATGTTTTCATTGTAACGGCCTCAGTCGAAGGTTATCAAGTTTGCTAGAGAACTACCGAATGCGAACGATGACGAGCTCCCAGGGAGACAGCTCCCTTCAGACCCATTCAATTAGAGTACACATTATCTCGTACAGCAGAAACGCTTAAGCTCACTATATATTAAAATCCTAACTCAGAAAAGCAGCAGTAAAATCATTGGGTACATACCTCGAACCCTTAAAGTTTGACTAGGATGGTTTGCAATGTTATGTGAAAACTAATAACTAATGCGATGATGACGTCCTACCGGTAGAATATCATTAACTATGCACGTCGAACTTAGTGGTTTAACATAGATGTCTAGCGATGTTAAGTTGATTTCAAGAGGAACGCAGAGGATGGACTAAGTGCCACACGCTTAACCACAAGAACCACTGGTCCTTGGAAAGGAAAATAGTCTTATGTTACGATAAATCTGTCCTCTACGTCAGTTGGTCGATTAATTCGCGCAGATCTTAGCGGCAGAAATACAAACACAGAACGCAGAGGATGGACTAAGTGCCACACGCTTAACCACAAGAACCACTGGTCCTTGGAGAGGAAATAGTCTTATGTAACGATAAATCTGTCCTCTACGTCAGATGGTCGATTAATTTGTGCAGATCTTAGCGGCAGAGATACAAACGCAGAACGCAGAGGATGGACTAAGTGCCACACGCTTAACCACAAGAACCACTGGTCCTTGGAGAGGAAATAGTCTTATGTTACGAGAAATCTGTCCTCTACGTCAGATGGTCGATTAATTTGTGCAGATCTTAGCGGCAGAGATACAAACGCAGAACGCAGAGGATGGACTAAGTGCCACACGCTTAACCACAAGAACCACTGGTCCTTGGAGAGGAAATAGTCTTATGTTACGAGAAATCTGTCCTCTACGTCAGATGGTCGATTAATTTGTGCAGATCTTAGCGTCAGAGATATAAACGCAGAACGCAGAGGATGGACTAAGTGCCACACGCTTAACCACAAGAACCACTGGTCCTTGGAAAGGAAAATAGTCTTATGTTACGATAAATCTGTCCTCTACGTCAGATGGTCGATTAATTCGTGCAGATCTTAGCGGCAGAGCTACAATTGAGCCACTTATTCCACTCGCATTCTTTGCCATGAGGGATTATCTAATAATTACATTCATATAATAATACTGAGAATCTGGCTTCCTTTTAACTGAGCTTTTTAGCTCGCACTCATGACAATTGATAGTTATCTGACTTATTCCACGAGGTGTGCAGAAGAAAATTTCTCAAAATATAGCGCGCGCGCAAGTCCTATTTAATTCCTGAGAAGCCACCATGGTTTAATCCTTACATAGGCACGGGCTGTGTATCCACGACATGTTAGTCTGACAATTATGAGGATTCTCTTTATCATATTATTCTCATATATGCGTTTTTTTGCCTCCAACTCAGTTGTCTAACTTGTCCAATTTGAACTCGTTTCCCTTTTTTTTTGTCTATTTTATTTTTATATTTCCTCTTTTAAATGTAGAACCAACTATCATCTTGTTATGCATAGAGGCGAACTTAGGGCTGTTCTTGTTCAATTATTCAAACGACAAGACAACACCTGGATCAACTAGCGTGGTAAAATGTACTAAAATTTCGGGCGAGTCCATAACACGTCAAATCAATTGTCTAATAACTGGTAAAAACGGAGGAAATAAAAGTATATAGCACGTCATATTTGCCAAATTTATGTTTAGTTGGCTTTTAAACTTCATTAGAATTTTCAGCCTCTAATTACTGATAAGTTTTTTTTCACTGATAGGAAACGCAATCCACTTTATTTTACGAATGCAAAAGGTTTCCGATACTCCATTTTCAAGTTTTTCTTTTGTTTCTTGTCTCTTTTTCGCCTTAAACCGTAAGACTTCTTCGTTCCCTGGTTTTTATGCTCACTTTATATTTCCCTCTCTATGATCTACAAATTTTCATTATAGTCAGGAGCACAATTTCAAAAAAACGGTTGGCCCTAACGACGTCTTAGCTCTATGATTTCGTGCGTTTGTAGCAGGAAAAAAAATATATTTATCATCGATCAGAGTTCTTACCTGATTCTTACTTTGAATAAATATATGGACGATGATGCTTTGCATTTATTATCATGCTTTTCGGTTTTTTTTATCTCGCCCCTGCCAATTTGTTTGGAATATGAAAGACGTAAATTAAGAGGATATGTTAGTTCGTGTTTTAGATAAAACATCTTTATTACGACCTTTAATAATTAAACAGGACGTTTCAGCGACGACATGTCACCATTATTAAATGTAAAATCATTGCAAGTTCAGTGACGTTACAGTGTGAAACTAATTAAACAAGAGTAAAAAATGCGATGGATTTAGTCTCTTTTATTGCGGCTATGTCACAACTCCAAGAGCACTGTAAACTGCGAGCGCGGCGATAAGTGGCCTTGAATGTTCGATGATGCAGTAAAAGGGCCCCTCATCAATGAGAGATGAATCAAACAGCAAAGACTCATACTATCTTTACAGAGAAATATATTTTTTGATTAATTCAGAGACATTTTGCAAGCATTAATATTGAAACGTTGCAACAAGTTTTTATAACTAACACATTTCTCATTACCTTTATATGCAAAATCACCCTTCTGCATTACTTTGCGTTAACCAACGCCAGCCATATCTAGTGTTATATAAACCAGATGCTCGATAATGCAAAAAAAAACAAAACAAAACAAAAAAAACAGGTTACGCATAGCCCCATTAAATACTCGCAAACTTTGAAGCAGTTTTCCCGTTCCACCATTAAGCTGTCAATTCTCTCAGTGGTTTTTGCCATCAAAGTGTCACTTTTCCGTTAATTGAATATCTTTCCTCTGCAGATTACATAGAGGTGAAAAATATACGATTGTAAAAGATAAGCAAGACAAAATGACACTGATATTTTTTTCAGTAAATTTCTGGTATGGATATAGAGCTGAAAAAATTTTTAAAAAGCTGTTGTTTTCAAGTTCATTGCTGATAACTTACCATGCTTCTCAAATAACATTTAGAGATCGATCGTCGCCGACAGAGATTAAAAGGGGGAACCATGGGGGGATCGTAAGAATATTACAGAGCCTTACCCCACTCCCCACCCCCTTACGCGGACGAAAGAGCACATCCCCGTCCACATTTCGCATGAATATATGTCATTATTTTATATCATTGTTTTGTCTTTGGAATTAATGTGTCCGCCATGCTTAGGTGTCGCGACTCAATCGTAAACGGAAGGCATCTTGCGAACGAGAAGCAGACAAAGCGAGGTGCAAGAAAGATTGCCTTAAACGATCAGTGGCAAAAGCCCTTCTTACACTTGATCGTCAAACTGGTAAATCGACAGAGGAATACGCAGTAGCCACAACCCTTTTAAATCTGAGCCTAGAGCCAGTGATGAGTTTAGGAGAGCACGACATCTTGAAGGATCAGCTGGAGGTTGGCGAACCGGAAAATCGAACCGTCGAGTCAACTGAACCGATCGAGTCTCGAGTCACTTTCGAATTAGAGATAAACGAAAAATTAACCAGAGATTGTGGCACACAAGTAAGTTAAATACTAGAGAAAAAAAACTTATAATAGATCATTTTTGGTGTTTGGTATGTACGACTCTCATGATATCAATCCAAATCAGACTTCAGGTGGTGACAAGCTGTTGAAGAATTTCTTGATGGAAAAAAGTACTGGACTTAAAGAAAACCTAGTGTTAGACATGTATGCAAATAAACTTATACTTAAAGAAGGTCTATTTTGTAAACAACATTCACGTCCAAGCAAAGTACATGTAGCAGAGTTAGGCAGACCATCCTTTTTCGCATAATGTATTTCTGGCTGTATTGTAGGCATGAAGAAGGACTACCTTCAGCTGATTTACAACGAAATTAAGAAAAAAGGTGAACGCATCAACATGTGGAACGGTTCGCGAAGAACTAAGGCTGGAAAGATTCAGGATAAGTACTTGAAAGTTAGTTAAATGTTGATGAAGTGAGCCATCACCTATTGCTATTTCAACAGAAAGAACTGAGTTAATTTTTTGTGGTGTTTTTCTCTCACTTTCTTAACAATTTGATTTCTCTTTTTAGAAGCGGCAAGAGATGGTGAAGATCACAGCCAAAGAGCAATTTATCTTAACCCTTGTGAGACTTAGAAGAAACCCAAGTTTGGAAAATTTGTTGATATATTTGGCATTGATAAAGGGCCTGGAGGCAAATTATTTATAATATGGATATTATTTGAGAAAACAAACTTAACTTTCTTTTACCCTTTTCGACTAGAGAGGGAGTGATTGGGGTGCCTAAACCCAAATGCTTCGCAGAGAGATCCCTAAACAATCTAAGAGCTATAATAGATTGTACTAAATTCTATGTGGAAAAACCTTGCAAGCCATCCAGTCAAAGGTCTACATATAGTCAATATAATTCCTCGAACACATTTCAATTATTTATTTCAATTTATCCCGTTTTGCATGTCAACTTTTTGTTTTAATTATACAGTGGCAGTATCAGTGACAAGGAGATTGTAAAAGCCAGTGGTTTTCTGGAAAAATTACAGTCGGGAGACGCTGTAATGGCTGATAAGGGCCTCAACATACAAGTCTTTTGCTCTTCATAAAACTGTACTTATTGCACCTCCGGTCATGATGAAAAATAATGTTTCTGCACTTGCATCAATTGCTACAAGGCATGTTGCAACTGCAAGGGTTGCAAGCGTGTAAAATCATTCAATTTTTTTATCAGAGTTATTCCACTTACATGTAAACCATACACAACCCAGG